GATTAGTGGTGCTGTCCAAATGGATGGTGCTATTTTGGTGTTTCTCACTTTTTTAGTGTTCGTGTCACTTTTTTTGCGTTTGTAAAAAAAAAAAAAGTGACAATTTTTGTAAAAAAGTGACATTGTGTCACTTTTTTTTATTTTACACAGTATTTTTTACTTCCTAAAAACTTTTCATATAATTTTTCAAAACACCTCTAATTTTAAAGGTATTTTTGTAAGTTCCCAAGTAATCTTTTCATTTATTTTTAACTTTTTACTTTCTCATTGATGATTTTTTTTTTTAATTGCTTAACCCAAAATCATATTAACCTATTTATCTCAAGAGATGAGACTAAAAAAGAAAAAAGTACTTTTTTAAATCAATTTTCTTATGATCATTTTATACATTTCAAAAGTAAATAATTCCGTAAACAAATATTTCTTATAATTGTATTTTAATTTCCTTAAAAATTAAAAGCTAAATATCTCTATATCCAATGAATCTTTCATCGTTTCATGACAATGAGTGGGTCGGTAGGGGACATAGGTCCGAAGAGGAAGTGCTTAATATATGTCTTGTGCACACATTTTTTTCATAATATTTGGTTCACAATAGTTTTTCTACAAATATTTCAAATGCATTGGTTTAAGGAATAAATAGGCATACGATTTAAACTATTACCTAGTCTATGTTTTTGTTTTGTTTTTCATATACCAAAATCTGGGGGAAAAAATCAATGCAAAAACTAAAATAAAAAATTTCTCATATAGTTTTTCGCAAAACTTATAAAGTTTCCTTAAATTCATAAATTAATTTTTACGAAAGTTAAAAATACGTTATTTAATTTAATGATTGAGAATTTAAATTCCCTTTGGATGGTTATCCGATGTGAAGCATAGAATAATATTATTAGAATAAGCAAAATATTTACAAACAAAGGATGTGCAAATTGACGTTGTATAGACCATTTAAAAGGATTCATTTCATTTTTCAAAAATTATAGAGAGATTGGGTATGAATTGGTCATAATTGATGTTAAAAAGATTGCTACATTTGTAAAAATAATAATAATAATAAAAATATAGTGCCTCGAAAGTTCAAGACGGACCCTTATAGTGCCTTTGTTTTTTTTTTTTTTGTTTTTTTTTTGTTTTTTTTGACTAATGGATCAAATTTTTCAAGTAACCGGGATGAAGTGTGAGATAGTCTGCACCAGGTGGAGATGCATTAGGGACTTAAAGTGATTTCTAAGTTAAATTAGAAGAGGAGATCAAAAACAAAATGGACATTAATTTCCTGAAACGAAGATTAGCTAGCATTTCATTAAAGTCAGATGAGGGCTGCCCTGAGATTCATGAGGCCCTAGACAACAAATTGTTATAGAGCCCTTAAATATAATTTTTTAGTAAGCATAGAATCTTTTCAATACTAATCATAGTCGATTCAGATTCAATTTCTCTATAACTTTGGAAAAATGAATGAACACTTTTAGAATAAATATTTCTTTTGCTTTCATAAAAATTAATTTATAAATTTTAAAGAAATTTTATAAGGTTAGTAAAAAATTATATGGGATATTTCTTTAAGTTTTTTATGCATTGATTTTTTATTTTTTGGTAGATCTTGGTTGATAGAAAATCACAACAAAATATATCACTATGCAATAGTTTAATTATAGATCCATTTTATTTTTTAAAAAAGAACGTGAGTTAAATACCCAAGTAATTTAAGTATCTTATTTAGACCAATTTTAGCTTTTTAAAAGGCTAGAGATCTAACTCAAAAAAACAAGGAATTTATTTATTATTATTATTATTATTATTATTATTATTATTATTTTAGGCCCTTTCAAGTTGGAGGCCTAAGCAATGGTCTTGGTCACCTTGGGCCAGGGCTGGCCCTGGTTAGACAAGTATGTTTGGTAGTATTTATAAGCTACGAGTCCTCTAAAATGTGTTAATGATAAATAAATAGTAATAAGAACCTACAAAATGTATAAATTAAAAATATGTTTAAATTTTAATTTTAGCTTTGCTCAACATGCTTGGGAGCTTTTTATATAATTTAAAACCTTTTACATTCTCTTGTACCCTTATGCAAAGTTTTGAGTAAAAGACCAAATCATGTTCTGGCTTGCGAGAAGATGCTAAAGTGCGTAGCAATAGTATTTCAAAATAGTAATGCTATTTAGTCCCATCGAATTTACAACTCCAGTTTAGCTGACGCTAAATTATAGACTGAATAAAAAATAAAATAAAATGACTTAATTAATTTTGCCTATCATTTAATGCCACATTTGCGCCATCTAAACTGGGGTTATAACCCCCTTGGGGTTACATAGCATTATTCATTTCAAAATGGATTGACTAGTAGTATGAGATTTGGCTGTTCCATATAGTATAGCCTCCCTAGTTTCTATTTCGCTCGAAATTCCAAGTTTAGTTTTGATATCAATATCAAATGTCATCGCTTAGACCAAAGTGTTGCGCCATCTAAACTGGGGTTATAACCCCCTTGGGGTTACATAGCATTATTCATTTCAAAATGGATTGACTAGTAGTATGAGATTTGGCTGTTCCATATCGTATAGCCTCCCTAGTTTCTATTTAGCTCGAAATTCCAAGTTTAGTTTTGATATCAATATCAAATGTCATCGCTTAGACCAAAGTGTGTAATTAAAAAGTAGGGGCACATGCATTGCAATTCGCAACGAGTTGGGATTTGCTATCCAACTTGTTGTCCATTAATGATTCATTGACGTATTATTATACACTTAGTTTTAAGCCCAAGCGGCAGTGAGAGAATAGTTGGACACGTTAATTTAAAGTGAAGTGTCGATAAATCATAGGTTAGACAGCAAGTTGGATAGTAAATTCTAGACAACAGATCTCAACTCCGCAACTTTGTAACAAAAAAAGTGTCAAAAACCATACTACATATTAATCATGTATAATATCAGAAAATTTAGTTTAATTGCCCAACAAATTTTTAATAAGAATAAAAAGAGGCTGGTACGATTGCAAATCAATGCTTACGAATAAACAAACAAAACAGAAGACTATTTTAAGCACCCTGAAACAAAAGGATTTCACGAATTATCCATTCAATTGTCCAGTCCCATACAAACATTCATTCAGAAACCGTATAAAGTTCAGAGACTACATAGCAGATGTTTGAAAGCTGTATCAGGTTTTGATTCTTCTCTGATATTGGAGATTTTCCATTGAAACCAGCTTCACAATCGTGTGCCGAATTCTCAACATCAGTTGCCAGTTCAACCAATCCATCGAAAGTTTCAGAATCCAAGTCAGTCAATGCTTCAGAAAGTGTCTTAATCGCTTCCATGTAATCTCCCTGACATTTCTTCATAGCCTCCATAATTTCAGGATCGGCGTGCCCATTCATGGACTTAAGTAAAATGTCAATGTAATTACTGGTATTTGTTGCATTTCTATATGCCAGCTCGAATACTACATACGAAAGAAGATATCGATCTGCTTTTGGGGCTCGTGGATCGGAGTAAACTGCAGCTTGGCAGAAACTGAAATTTGTAGTGTTTTTGCACACTTGGGTGGCTAGCTCAGGAGAATTTACATCAGGAATGGCTGAACTAGGACACAAGAACGTGGCAATTAAACAAGAAATGAAGAAAATGGAGAGCCGCAAAGAACCAGAAATAGCCATTTTCATTTTGTTTTCAGATCAAAGAATGAGTTGAAAAGGAAAATACTAGCTTGGTAGAAAATGAGAGTTGAGTCTCTAATTTTATATGCATTGTATAGAGAGAAAGGAAATTGCGAGAATTTTGTTTGTTATTATGGTATAATTCACACTGCTGAGTTGTAATATAATCAATTATTGTAATCCAATTACATGAGTATAATCTGCCATTGTTTGACATTCAAGAGGGCCGAATTAATTTACTGCTATATATATATATATATATTTGGAAATTGCATGGCTAAATTTATCCTTTTATACCCTATAAAACAAAGAAATCAAATTATTCTGCATATAAACGATCTTTTTCCAATAATGCAAATAATAAACATAATTTGTAAGTTTAAACTTTTGGAAGGAATTGGGAAAAAAAGCTGGCAATTCCGTTTCAGTAAAAATTATGGAGTGGGAAATTAAACTAAATTACTGGAAATTATTTAAATTCATTTGAGTTTAATTTGTGGTTTTGACTTTTCACTCTTCACTATTATTAGTTGAACCCTAGTTTTTTCTTTTACATTACATGTGCATTTTACATTTTTTATGTCTTAGATTTTCATATTCCTCTAATTATTGTTGAAGATTGAGGATGATTCAGCTGCAACGTTGGCAAGAAACGAGCCATGTGGACTTACAGGGACAGCTTAGCTGGAAAGTTGTCAGGAGGCAAAACCATGTGAATTTTGTAGCAATGGAATAGAAGAATAGTCTAGAAAAAATTAGTTAGAATTTTGCTTGTTGAGCAAGTTGATTTATTCTACATTTATCTGTGTAAATTAGTTAGTAAATATTATTTTTTGCTGTGTATATACACATCCTCAGTGTACATTATTATTATCAGATTGAATAGAATTTTCATTACTCCTTAAAGCTCTCTGTTCAACTATACAAATTTCATAATTTTCGAGTCCAATAATTATGATTTTTAAAATTAAACTTTGCTATCTGTATGTCCAGGGTGTCAGATGACACCCCCTTCACAATAGAGGGGCTCACATGTAATAAAATAGTTGTGGGCTTTTTTCTTGTGAGGGGGTGTCATTAGGGGTTGACACCTCGGATGTACAAATAACAAAGTAAAAATTGAAAATTAGTACGGACACATAAAAAGTGTGGAGAGGAATCAATGGAAGGGAAAGAAAAAAAAATCGGCAAGGAAGAAGGAACCAACGGCAGTAATAAGAATTTTCTTTTGCCCCCAGGGCACATTTCCAAGTGGTAAAAGGGGAGGGTGGAGAAATCCAGCTTTGTTTGAGGCTGTCGCGTCAAGGGTTCGAATTCTGAAATATGGATTTGACTCTTGGATAATTACAAGTGTAAGAAACATCAACCCCGTTTTATTAACTAGTCAGGCCACGTCGTTTTTGGCTTTAGAATTAATTGCTTGATTTAAACATCACCTTTTACGTTTTTCACTCCCATTCCAGAAATGCGACTTTACCGTGTGGGTATAAATAATAAATATCACCCCTGTGCATGGGGTAGAGGGCTGTGTGATTTCTGTAGCCAGTGGATTGAATTCAGTTCAATTTTCTGTCTTTCCTTCATCTTCATGTTGTCATTTACCCCTTCCCCATTTCTTCTTTTGATTTAGTTTCCAGATTTAGTTGAATTTCTAGCTGAATCAACTTCGATTTTGGGTGTAGTTGATGAGAAGCCATAGCTGTAAATTCCAGCTGTGACATAAAAATGTACAAAATTTGTGTGAATAAATTGATTTAAGAATTGCTCATTATTTATTTATAAATTAATGAAGTATATGAGTTTAAAAGCAATATATAATATATTTGACATCTTTGTTCGTAGTTATGGTTTTTTATGCCGGTGCATCACTACTACATATCTGATTAAATGTTGCAATGCACATGATAATTTGATGTTTGATTACCTTATAATTGCATTAGTTTAAGGTTTAATTTGAAATGGCAAGGTCCATTATTGTCGAAGTTGTTGCGGCATGCGAAAAAATATTTTGCTATAAATTTTGCCTTCATTGGACGGAAAATTGTAACTCCATCCGATGACACGATACTCTTCACTGTCGGCAAATCCCTTCAAGTCAATAATAACCGATGAGTTTGAAAGTTAGTGAAAATTTACTTCTCGACTGCATTCAATCAAGAAAATGAATCAACACCTGACAAGAATCACAATGTTGATCACAATTAAGTTCATAAAATTATGACACACAATGGATACCTATTATCATTTGCATAAAGTAATTTTTTCCCCCTTCTGGTGACAAATTGGTACATTGTTAATGATAAGATTAGCAAGTGTATCTAGACATTCCAATTATCTCACTACTTTTATAGTAGCCTCATTATCCACTTTGAGAACAATTAATAAAACAATTTGTTACGCCCCGTACCCAACCACTTCGGTAATGTTGTCCCTCCCCTACACGAAGTGTCACGTGTCCCAATGAAGTGTTTCCGAAGTGATATCCCCCTATGACCGAGTCCCAACTCCACGCCCACCGCAAGGTACACGCTTCACAAACTAGATCTGATTAACAAACGAAGCGTCCTCCTATGACCGAGACATCTTGCTAATCGAGGTGATCCCTTAACAGATACCTCCGTCGTCAGTTTTAGAAGCATATCTATGTCAGGATCCTCTAGGAATGTGACATCTTCGTGGATCTAGTTGATGTGACATCAACTTTATGTCAACTGAAACTCAGGAGAGTTAATAATCCGCCCACTTTAGATGTGGCTGATTGACGCCTACGAACAAATGTCCTATGCCGTCAAATGCATACATGTGTCCCACATCCAACGGTGCTCCTCGTCTATAAGTACTCAAGGTTTGGCAAGAGGAAAAGGTAATGAAACTTACACTATACTGAGCTCTCGACATTCAAGCATTATATATTCTCCTCCCCATTCTCTTCAACAATTCCGATCATTGACCACTAACTTGACCGTCGGAGTGTATGGGGCCGCCACCATCCCCGTTGGTTTCGATCGTGTGCTTCTGATCGTGCGTTGTTGTGTGCAGGAAGGAACATGTGGAGTGGCTCTTAGTTGGTCACGTAGAGGTTCAATTCGTGAGGTCAACAGATTGACACCGTCTGTAAAAAAATTCCAACCAAAGAATTCCCCATTTATCACCTGAAAAAGCCACCGAAAAACTATCGACTTGCCTTGGAAAAGGGACGTTCTTGAAAAAGGACCAAGTCAACTGTCTCAAGTTCATAACACCCTTAAAAAAGGACTGAGAAAATGAGTTATAGCGACGAGGATGCAAATCTTGAAGGGCATAGGGATGCCTCTGAAGAAGAGGTGATCTGGACCAATATCACGCATCGGAGACCCCATCATCGGTGTCATCGAGGCAACAGGAAAGCAACACTCACTAAAGGGATGGCTCAAATAGCTGCAGGCATGTGAGACATTACAGCTCAGAATCAGGCGATGCGTAAATTCTTCATGCAAGCCCAAGGTTAGCATGACTTTCCAATGTCACAAGGGCTAAACCCAACTCAAGGGCAAAACCCGACATCTCATGCCCGGGATCATTCAAGTCACCACAGGGAACACCCCACTGAGAGGGAAGTAGGAGTGGATGTCACTTCCTATACCCAAGGTGCTCAAGCAGCAGAACCACAGCTGGGAGAAAACTTCCCCCCAAATTACGAACCTCAGAGGTCGGTTAGTGTCTTCGACTGGATAGGACAAAACCCTAGCAATAGGGTCCGCACCTTACAAAGGTTGGCTCAGCAAGTGCAGGAGCAGGAGCAAGAAGAAGAACATGAGGCATCTCCTCCGCCTAGAAATAAGCGGGAGAGGAGAAACCTAGTGGATTGAGGTGGTCGAGGAGTTGCACCTCCACCTTCCCGAAATGCATCAGAGGAGGAAGGCTCGGAAGGGCCATGTCGCTCTTACGAAATTGACGACGATGATGACAACCTCCCCTTCTCTAGAGAAATCCAAAGCTTCACGATGCCTACGGACTTTATGCCCCCTAAAATCCCTAAGTATGAAGGAAATGGGGACCCACAGAAACACCTTACTAAGTATATGACGCAGATGAGCCTTAGAGGAGCCTCGCTGACACTAAAATGTAGGGCCTTCCATCTGACCCTTACCGGAGCTGTAGAGGTGTGGTATAGTAGGATACCACCTTTAAGCATCAGAAGTTGGCCAGACTTGAATAATGCATTTCTGAACCAATACCTCTCACGAAGGGAAGGAGAGGCCCCAGTATAGTGCCTACAAGATATAAGGCAAGCTCTTGGTGAGACGCTGAAAAGCTATCTCGCCAGATTCACTGACGAAATCATACACTACGAACAAGTCACCGATAGAGAGGCCTTCTCTGTGACACCCCGAACTTAAGCTTCGAGTGTCACGTACTAAATATAAAAAACTGCTACCTTCGCTATATGTAAATACTCTTAAATGAAAGTATTACATGTTAAAAACTTATTTTCAACTTGGTAAAATATCTCTCATAAAATTTTAATGGCCAGCAGAAGCGCATGATGACAAAATTATACTTTACATTTACGGACTCTGCTCTGTCACGGTTAGTTGGGTCAGCAAGTTCAACTATTTTTATAAACTTCATCCGAACTCCATTTTCTATGAAATTTATGACATTAGAAATATATTTTCAAGTAGTTTTCTAGGTTAAAATATGAAAAATTTTCAAAATCATATGATACGGGCGTTTTACTGAAAATAGTGAGGTATTGCACAGAAATTTCAGATTGACCCTCCAACGTTTAAAAATTCATATCTCAGGCTACAGATATCCAAATTGAGTGATTCTTGTGCCCATATTAAGACAACTCAATGAGGAACGCAGAAATATTTTCAGAGTCTCAAATAGACGTTTATGGAGTCAGAAATAATGTTTTGAAGTTGACCCAAAAACTGTTCCGTTTCTGCCTTTTGTTACTTGCAAGGAGAAGTTTTTAAAAAAATGTCTCTTAACACAACATAGAAGATATAATTGAATAATTT